GACTCAATCTTCATACTAGATACTTTAAATTTCGAAAATTTTATGGGAGAACCCTCCCTACCCCCCCCCCCCCCCCCCCCCCCCNTCTCTACAGTATGTACTATCGATCTACTGCTTAAAATCTAACTTTTTCCAAACTTCACTTTTTCGATTTATTGCCGCTTAAACCGGCTATTCGGACCATAGTGCCCCGTTTGGAGTGTCTGGATCCGTCTATGCTTTCTAAGCATGTTATTTTATGAAACTTTCTCTCTACGCTGAGGGATATCTACTTTCTCTCTCAGGTCCCAAATTCGACTGAACGACCCAATGCTTCGACCTCTTTGAGGATTCTCCACTGGTGCAAAATAACCTTAAAACGCGAATCTCAAGGCTCGGCCGGCACCATACGACACGGTACCATACTGCTGCGCTAAGGAAGAACGCCGTAGGAACATTCGAGGGCTGCCAAATTTCCTTCGATAAAATGTTCATTTTTGGGTAAATTTATGATTATTTTTCCTTGAAATTTTCAGGATTTTTAGGTAAAATTGGGAACAAAATTTGCTGAAAAATTGAAGGAAAAATGTGTATAAATTTCCCCGAAAATTCGTGATTTACCAGAGGAAATTTGGCAACGACTGAAGGTTCATACGGCGTTTTTCCTTAGCACGGCAGCATACTGGGGTGAGACACCCGCTCCACGCGAGTCAATAACGTGACGGCCGGAATGCGAGCGCTCATCGCCCAAGCCGCACAGTGGATCGAGTCAATCAGAGAAAAGGGACATGGAATTTTTTACTATAAATAAAACTACAAATTTTGATGTTTATTTCATCACATTTAAAATTCCAAGGGATGCATTGATTAGAAAATTTTACGAGGAAACCGATGAAACCGTTTTTAGACCCTCAAATGTAGGTATAATCGGAGTTATAAGCTAGAGTACCTAAATTGAGAGAGTGTGGCCACTGGTGTTACCACCTCTGATTGGCTCGGCCATCTTGGGCTGATTGGAGCCCTTAGGACCCAAAAATGGCGGACGCCATAAGTTCATGTAATGCAAAATGACTCAAAATGTAGTTTACTTTGCTTATCGTAACGAGAAATTCACCCAAATGCACTATTGCGACTTCTTTACATATTTTTAAGGCTAATCGTGTGCAATTTTCGAGAAAAATTATCTTAGATGCGATAAGGTTGGCAGCAAGTGCGGTTGGTGATAACTGTCAAAAGTTGGCAATGACCCCCCTCCCATCCTCAAAAACCAAAACAAAGAACCGCCATTTTTGGGTCCTAAGCCTCTCCATGGGGCCCAGTCAGAGACAAGAGACCCTCCACTAGTAACTTGGCTATGGTGGAAGCTTTTACTTTCGGGACTTCAGCATTCTACTGTTGACTTACCTACATGGTTGATGTTCAACAACGTGTTGGCAGTTTCGTTTTGCAAACAAGCCGAAAATGGCCGACGTTTGGGAAAGTTGTTTGGCTTATGACGTCATCCGAAGCTCATCATCGACCATGTAGGTAAGTCAACAGCCGAAAATATGGTGATGACTGTTGCTCGCTCATAATTGTCCATAAGGAATTGTTGAAACCCCGAAAGTAAAAGCTTCCACCTGTCGCTAGGAGGCCAATGGAGGGTCTCTTGTCTCTGGGCCCAGTGGCCATACTCTCTTAATATGTATAGGTACTCTATTATAAGCTTTGGAAGTTTTCAAATTTTGTCTGAGCTCTCCACTGTGAGCCGTCGCGTTCGTCGTGCCACCTGCTTTTGTGTGGATAACAATTTTCCCGGCCGCGGAAGCACCAGTTAATTGTTAAGTTCACACTCTGAAACATGTGCAGCCTCCGCTCGTCCGGGGTCGATTCCAGCCGATCGAGTCCGTCTCCGTAAACAAATTAAGCCTCCGAGATTAGGCGACCGTGAAACGCTCCCAGACGCAAACGATACCAGCCGATCAGACATGTCGACAAATTAGCCCAGGCTAATCTACATATTTTCTAATAAAGAGACCGCTTCCGAGGGGGGTGGGGGATGTATCTCTAACTTTAGGGGCAAAAAAAAGAGGAGAGGAGGAAGGTCATGTCAATAGAATGACGGACGAAAGGCTGCCAAAGAAGTTGCTTGATTGGGTTCCTCCTGGGAGGAGACGAAGGGGACGCCCAGTGAAAGGGTGGCGACAGGGGTTTTTAGAAGAAATGAGGGTTTGCCAACTCCCTGAAGGGCTTTGGGAGGATAGGGGACTTTGGTGGCTAGGGGTCGCAGAGCGCCAAAGAGCGCTATAAAAGCGGCTTTAGACATACATACAAAAAGAGGAGAGACAAAGAGGAGAAAGAGTAGAGGCCTCTCTGTAAAGATAAGTGCATGCATAGGTTGCACACTCCCCTGCTTCGGGTCGGTTCAATCATCTCCGGTTGCGAGGTTAAAAACCTTCAGCTAGAATAATCGTCTTGTTTCGGAAAAGTGGGTCCGAGAAAAAAATTCAAGAAAAAAAAGAGACTGAATTCGGTCTATTTGCGTTGAGTAAAAAATGCATTTGACGTGTGTTACTTGGTTCCATAAAAAGTCTTTATGTATCAAACTTTTCGGTCCTTTAGTAGAAAGATTTGAATGGTCTTAAACATATATACAAAAAATGGAGAAAAAGAGCGTTCAACTCTAAAAAAAACTACTATTCGGCAATAAAGCAGTGTTTAAGTGCCGGTCGAATTGTAACCAGAGGTTAAGACTGATTGATTCCGAAATGATCCATTATGATCTGCATGTCATGTTTCATTTTCGCACACTTTTTGTTGTCACTTCCGTTAATAGCAGAATTTCATTTTTAATGGCGTTTTCTTAGTTTAGACCTTAATGTGGACGATTTAAATCAAAAGAATTTATCTTCATAGTGACCTGAGCCATATTGAGCAAGTGTTATTATGGGTCTCAGGGCTTAAGAAACAATGGAGAAAGATCAATACGTCCGTATGAACTTCAAAGAATTTTCGGAGAACGGCAAGCTACGGCTATAGGAACTCCAGAAATCTCCTGCACGATAAAAATTGGAAAGAAACTATAATCGTGAGATTATCTTTAATACGAAAGCTGGGCGCGACGATTCACACAAGACTTGAGTTGGGTGGGCAGAAGAAATAACTGCAGTTCGAGTCAATATTTTTGACCCAATTTTCTTTTTCAAAGACAGTCTGACAATGAGTGGAATATTTTCAACAAGCGGACTTGTCCCACACATTTTTCTGGCATAATTAGTTAGTAATTACTACTTCTACAGATTTTAAACGCGTGAACATGATCTTTCCAAAATTTCGATTTAAGTTCTTTCTACCAAATTTTTGGGAAGGTGCCTATCCTCTTTTCCTAATATTTCAACTCTAAATCAGATCCTACAGTTCCACTCCACTCCCAACTAAAGTCCCAACATCTTTCTGGATCTGCTGGGGCCCATTTTCCAGGAGACCATTACCAGTATTACTTGAAATGTGAGACTCAATGCATAACGCGAAGATTTAAAAGCATTTTTAAAAAGGAAAAAAAAATGAAAGTGCGATTGCAATCTGACAACTGCGGAACGTGGAATTTTCTCGATTCTTCTGGAATTTCACTTTCTGTTTGTCACAAAGGTATTTCAGTCGTGCGGATATCAGAGGTAAGTTCGTCCCGAAAATTGTTCCGCGGTTATTTCACCGATGCAACTAATTAATTACCGAGCGATAACCGCACGAAGCCTGACGACGCGACTGATCGCTGCATGTGAGCTCTTGTTCCACGGACGTATGACACCTTCCCGTTTCAGACGTCGAATTTTCTCGATTTTTCTAGAAATGTTGAATTTTCCTTCGTTTCGATGCTATCTCTGGATAATAGGGCTGTTATGAAATTTCGCTTTACACGAGAGAAAATAGTTGTTTTTTATGTGGAATCGCTCGAATATCGCGATAAGCGAACTGACAAAGAACTTGCAGGCAAGTGTTGCTGCACTTTTAGGAGGTTCATAGCCCCAGCCTCCCTGCCCCTTCTCCTCATTTAAAGGAAGCTGTACAATTTTCTCTCCTTTTTTTTGGACCTAAAAATATTGTAATATATGGTAGGGAAAAAAAATTCTGACTGTAAGGAAATCTTGTTACAGGGGAAGGGTTGAAGACCTAAACGAGTATTTCCATAATTTCTTCATTTTCCGATTCTTTGAATTTTCCTGGCCTTCGCACTAAACTTCCCTTCGGATTTTCTTTCTTTTCGTTACGCTAACTTCTACTAAACTTAGGACAAAATGTTCACTTCCCATAATTCAAATTATGGAAATACACTGAAAAAGAATTTACGGGCCATATACTGGAAAAAAAGTCGCTTGGATCTAGAGTCCAGACTCTTAAAAACATTGACAAGAAAAAATACTCTTGATTCAATCCGACTTTTTCTTGAATTGAAGAGCCAAGCTTCTTGATTTAAGCGGATTTCCTTTTGATTATTCAAGCAAAAAGTCTGATTGAATCAAGAGTATTTTTTCTTGTCAATGTTTTTAAGAGTCTGGACTCTAGATCCAAGCGACTCTTTTTCCAGTGTGCCTACAGATATACCGTCCGTTCCGGGCTCAGAGGCGGAAAATTCCGGGTGCTGGAGCCGTAACTTCGACAGCTCCGGGTGCTACGCCCGGAACTTTCGGCCTCTGATCCCGGAACGCGGAAGATATGCTTCATAGCCCGTAAGTACAGCTCCAACGGCCAGAGTTTCTTTTTCGGTGTAGGCACCCGGAAGTTGTTGACCCTCTCTCGTAAAGCTCCGTCTGATGACGTCGTCAATGAATCAGTCCATCCTGCCTCCTTTAGACGCCAGTTTTCGATATGACGTCACTTTCGACCCGGAGAGGAGTCGATGACGGGGAAAACTAGGAGACAAAAAATGCAAACTCCGGCGGAAACAATAAGATCGGTGAGCTAATTACGTAATCACGCACGACTCAAAATTATGACAGCTGTTCGTTATTAAGAACGGAGCAACGGAGAAATGAGAGGACGACAAGTTACAAGTTCGCCTATTGTTGTCGCAGAGTGCAGCGCAGCTCCGATCGCCCCAGTCGCCGCAAACCATCGCCATCGCGAAAAATTACGATTTCCCGATCCAAAATTCGAAAATCGGGGAAAACGTGATCGGTAGCCGAATTTTGGAAACACCAAAAATCTTCGTTCTGTGTGCTGGTGCGCTGTTCGAACTTACGACCATAGATTCATTTAGAATTTCGCTGTGTATCATCATATTCCGATATCAGTAACGTGAATGGTTTCATCATATTCCGATATCAGTAACGTGAATGGTCAACTGAGAACTGTCGAAAAAGCTTCAATTCGTGTTCTGTTGCGGTTCGAAGTTTTAAATAAAGACCACTCAAGTTTTCGAGTCCTATAAATTCCTGTAAAACTTTCGATGTTGATCCAATCAAAAACGCGCAAATCGGAAACAACGTAAACAGTTGACTGATCTCCAGCGTTGCTGACAAAGCTTTCACTTCGTGTGTTAATGCTGCTGCAAGTTGATGAACTGACTACTAAAATTGTTTGATTCCAAAAATTTCTGATAATTTGTGCGTTGATTCGTCGATATCTGATCGAAAACGCGCGAATCGGATAGCAAAGTAAATAGTTGACAGCCCTCCTGAACTTCTGGAGGAGGAAAATTGTTCCGTGCGATGGTGAAATTCAAGATGTCTGGTAGTCTTAAGATGGCGAACACTCAAATTTTCAGATCACGATAGACATTTTTGCATGATCTCCGCATTGAATTACTGAGTAAAAATTTTATTGGCCGCTCCTAAGTGATTATATCGACGGGAATTAAATGTGAGTAGCATTTGTAACTGACTAAGTTTATCTTGAAGGGAACAACCTAGATGAAAAGAAAATGATTTTCGACGGAAAATCCCCAGGGTTCACATGAGTACATGGAGCGGTGGAAATTCAAAATATCCTGAGAGTAATCGGGTGTTCCATAAATTTTGCAACCACCTGCAACCAACCTGTAAAAGAGATTACGGCGATATTGCTGGGGATAACAGCCATAAATATTAGTTCACCCTGTCACGATATTTCTTTTGAAAAATTATTCTACACATACTGTCAAGGAATTTCAACTCAATATAGCGTGAAAATACTTCCTGTAGTAAGTATGATGGTAGAATAGTACTGGGTTTAAGCTATTCTAAGGGAAAATCAAGGTCAAAAAATTCCCAAATTTCACTCAGTGAGAGCTATATCGAGTTGAGTCTCCTTGGATCTCATCAGTAGATCTCGCTTCCCTGGTAAAAATTGGCGGTAAGAGCTGCGTTTCAAAATACCATAGGAATTCTTATAGCCGGCTAAAGAAGGCTACAGAAAATCATATAGCTGGCTGTAGAATGCGGTAAAAATCATACAGCCGCGCTATACGAAGCGATCAAAAAGTATGCAGCCGGGCTGTAGTTCCTATCGCCGGGCTTTACACTTTATCGCCTGGCTATTGCTTTTTCGCCATCGATTATAAAAGGCTATAAGAAATTGTGTAGAAATTCGTGTGCTTTGGAAATCATTAAGTTTGATACGGAACCACCTTAATATTTACAAAACACACATTATATTTTCCTTTAATTCCTTTCATCAATTAAAATGAGAATAATCCATACAGGATGTGCAAACATTTCAAAATCTTGAGTTGAATAACGCTGACTCCGCCAGATTAAATATTAGAGCCTAACACAAAGCGGAGCGGCGACGCACTGGCGCCTACAAACCTAACAGGGATACTTCACGACTTCACGCATTGCGCAACGCGTGAAGAATCCCTGTCAGGTTTGTAGGCGCCAATGCGTCTTTCGCGCTGGCTGCCCGCCTGCTACGGCGCTTGAAGCAACTATTTCACACCAAAGGTATTGCACAGTATCATACGAAACTGCAGGCGCTGTAATATATTAGTAATGGCAGGCATCCATCAAAAGTACGGAGCTTTCTTCGCAAAATAAATCAAGATACTACGGCCCAAAAAGAGAGCAGTATTCCAAAAACTCACTAAGTCCTAACATCCGTAATTAGTAACGTTTAGCATACATTTTACCGCCTGGCTGTTGCTTAGTCGCCATCGGCTATAAAAGGCTATAAGAAATTGTGTAGAGCTATAGAAGCTATTGGAAATCTTACAGCCGGCTGTAGGTCTGTGGTATTTTGGAACACAGATTCTACTGCCAATTTTTACCAGGGTTCATCTACTGATAAGTCCAAAAAGTAACTCTCTCAGCGCGACCCCAGCTCAGCTGTTTAAGCTGAACACTTCCCCCTTAGCCTTGAACTGATACTTATTAGAATTCAAATTTTTGACTCTGATTAAAATTTTTGGAATTTTTTGGCCTTGATTATCCCTCGCAGAGTAGTGAGAACCTAGCACTATTCTATTGCTTACAGTTCGGGCTACGTATTTTCGTAATCTCATATTCTCATTGGTGATAGGTAGTGAATGAAATGTTGCAAAAATATTACCGAAATCATCGACGCAAATACTCGTGAGCATTATTGGTCAGAAGAAAAGTCGTAGAGGTGACTTCAATGCAGTAAAAATGTATATTTATGGGAGAAAAAGTAATATGCGAGTATGATATACTAATACTACTAATACTCGTATTGATGGAACATCTCATAGAGAGGTGGGCACGGATCGAGAAATGGAGCAATATACAGGATGTTTTGATAGTCAAGCGCCATAAATTGAGTGTTT